CCAAGTGGCTGGGGTTAAAGGCATGTCTACAACCACACAGCACAACCACAATTTTAAAACAAACAAACAAACAAAACAAATAAAAAAAACTGTCCAGCTGGTGAGTGAGCTCAGCAGTTAGAAGCAAATGAGGCTCTTGCAGAGGACCTGAGTTTGGTTCCCAGCACCACTTTGGGCAGCTCATAACTACCTATAACTCTAGTCATGGAATCTGACACCCTCTTCTGGCCTCTAACAGGCATCCTGAACTCATGTACACACACATATACATTAATGTGTGCACACATACATACACATATGCACACGTACATGCACACGTACACAAATAAAAATAAAACTTAAAGCAAATTGAGACCAGAAGAGACTTCCTATCTATCATAATATTGATTATCAATTTGTAAACTAGAATCACCATGAGAGAAGCTGCTGGGCATACCTGCAAGGGATTTCTTAATTACATTAATTGAAGTGGAAAGACCTGTTCTGAATGTTCAGTATCTTCCAGTGGTTGGGGCTCAGATACAAGGATGTCCAAAGGAAAAGCATTTGTTTTGTTTCTTGCCTGTCTGCCTTAGCCTCTTGCTGGTGAGGGCCAATGCCATCTGTAATGTGATAAAAGACTCAGAGACTGATATTGGGGTTCAAGCTTCAAGCTGAAGTTCAGAAAAGCAAAGCAACCGGCCACTAGCTCTTACCTCTAGCTCAGGCTGAAAGGGTTGATCCATGATCCTTCACCAAGCCTCAAACTGCTGCCTCTCCTCAGTGTGGCTGGAGAATGAATGCCTGCTCTGAGACCTTGCTCCTGTCTTATATACCTTTTATGAGTCCTGGGATTAAAGGTGTGAACTATGATTCTCTTTAAGACTGATTCCCGCTTGTGTAGATCTGGGTGGCCTTGAAATCACAGAGATCCATCTACCTCTTAATCCTGAGTCCTAGGATTAAAGGTGTATAACATCACTTCCTAGCTTCTGGCTGTTGGGATTAAAGGTCTGTGCCTGGCTTCTATGGCTTGTGGCTGACTTTGCTTTATGAATTCTCAGGCAAGCTTTAATAAATCATAAATAATATATCATCACAGTCATCCTCTACTGATCTCTGGAGCCAGCTTCGTCGGCCTTCCAACCCAGATTGAATATCAGTGTCACCCTCAGGCCTTTGGCTCCAAATTGAGACTGCTGAGGACCTTAGCTCCATGGACCAAGTTATCGGCTTCCCAACCTGTCCTGTGTGAGACAGCCATTGTGTGACTACCCAGCATGTACCATATAAGCTAATGTAATAAACCCCCTTTAAATATTCATCCATTGTGCACATTCCATTCCTCTCGAGAACCCTGGCTAATGCAATACTTATGGTGAAGTTATTGAAATGTCACTAAAATGAGAAACAAAACAAAAGATGCCAAGTCTCACCTCTTCCTTTCCATATTGGATTACATATCCAACTGCTACAGGAAGCAAGAGGAATGAGAGCTACAAAGGTGAGGAGGGAGGTTGATAGACATGGTGAACACACACCTTTAATCCCAGCACTTGGGAGGCAGAGGCAGGTGTACTAAATTCTGGGCTTGCCAGAGCTACACAGTGAGAATCTCGTCTCAAAAAACAAAACAAATAGAAAGAGAGAAAGAAAGGAAGAAAGAAAGAAAGGAAAGAAGGGAGGGAGGAAGGGAGAGGGAGGTAGAAGCAGCTTGCAGATGCCATTTGTGTTTGTGATGAAGCCGGAAGGTGTTAGACAACCATTAGAATGGGCAGGAGGATTTGGTGGGTTTCTAAGTGCAAGCTGTATCAGGTAGGGGCTGATCAGGAAAACAAGGTCACATAGAAATCTGAAAAGGGAAATTTGAGGACAGCTAGCTGGTAAGGTAAATTCAATCTCTGAGTGACATCCTAAGGCTATTTGAGAGTCTCCAAGGCCAGAGCAATATGGAAGAAGAGTCCCCTCCACCAAACTGGGGTTCTGATCCCACTGGAGAAGGCATGGCTGCAGACTCTAAAGGTAATGCTGGTCAGCAATGGTCCCTAGTTACCGTCAGTTACAGGCAACCAAGGCAGAGGAGGATGAGAAGCTGGGCAGGCAGAATTTGTTGGGATATATATATATATATATATATATATATATATATATATATATATATATATATATTTTAATTTTTTGAGACAGGGTGTCATTATATAGCCATGGTCAGCCTGGAACACACTATGTAGACCAGGCTGGCCTAAAACTGACAGTTCTACTCACTTGTGCCTCTCGAATACTGGGATTAAAGTGCCTAGCAATAAATATTTTAAAAACACACATGGTGGCTGGGGATATAGCTCAGTTGGTAAAGTGCTTGACTAGTATGTACAAAGCCACGGGTTCTATCACAGCACCACATAAACCAGGTGTGGTAGCAAACACCTGCAACGTCAGTCAGTACTTGGAAGGTTGGGGCAGGAGAATCAGGAGAATAGGTTAGAAATCAGCCTGGGCTACAGGAAACCCTGTCTCATGGAAAAAAACGGGGGGGGGGGGAGCAAAAGCATATGAGCAAGTTTAGATGATTCCAGAACTGTCCCATTTGTCCCTGTGCTGTTATTATAAAACACCCCAGTCTATTCAGTGGGATGATATCATTCATATTAAAGGTGGGTCCTTCCTCTTTAGTTAATTCAGTCCAGAAATTCCTTCACAGGCACCCTGAGGTTTGTCTTCTAGATGATTCTAGATCTTCTCAGGTTGACAGTGAAGTTTAATATCATAAGCACATGGGACCAATTCCCCTGTATCAATCACCTTTTAAGATCACCTGATCCTGCCCACAAAGATATAGGCTTCCTGTTCTACTCACCTCTTAGAGGCCCGCCTTTTACTGTGTTGCACCAATAGCACCTGGAGGAAACAGGTGTAGAAGACACGGGAATTGTGTCCATCAAAAGCCCTAGGGGCCATGTCTGCCCAGGCTGCCATCTTTGCAGATACCTAGTCTGGCTGAGGCCACATGATTGCTCTAATGTTACAGGACATTGGATGCCACATGGTGATGGAGACAGCTCGAAGAGGCTTCTGTGAGCTAAGGAAGAGGCCAGAATGGTCACAAGCCACCAGATGCCAGAGAGGCCTGGAGCACACTCCTCCACAGTGGTGAGGCCCTGCTGATGTCTTCACTTTCTATGGCAGCCAAGATGAGTCCCTGTTACCGTAGTTACCCTGGGTGGTTATCCAGTGGTCCATCTGGGTAGCCTTGCAGATGGGTCACTGAGCTCTCCTCTCTGAAGCTAGGCCACAGGCAGTGGTATCCTGGGGTGGCACTATCCTACCTGTAGGCTGTCCCAGCACAGGATTATCTGGGTGTTATGAGAAGCTGCTAGAAGCTGAAGGGTTCCTCTTTGGTGGCAGAATTATGATGTGGGGCTCTCATGGCAAAGTGGAACAGCTGGCAAAGGGAAGCTTGGAAAGTACCCCGGTTTAGTGGGGCTGGAGACAGTAGGAGCTGCCCTGCGTCTTGTGGCTGAGTCAGATGGGTAGAGGTCGACAACACCGGGTTGTGAAGACAAGGGCCAGGTGGAGCTGGTCTCCACCTCTCAGCCTGCTTAGCACTGCATCCTAGCCAGAAGGCAGGCAACCTGGGCCAGTGGGTTTGTTCTCAGGCCCCTTTATTTTGCAGCTATTTGTGCAGACTGTGCTGGGGGAAATCTTGATTGGGAGCTTAGTGAAGCTAACCCCTGGGTGTGTCTGTGAAGGTATCTGCAGAGCCATTTAACTATGAAAGTCAGTAGTGCCATGTTTGTAGGCTGGGAGAATGCAAAGGGCAGCAGTGGCGGGGGGTGGGGAGACTGGAGAGATGGCTCAGAAGTTAAGAATGCTGACTGCTCTTGCAAAGGGCCTGGGTTCAGTTCCCAGCACCCACACCTGCCTGTAACTCCATTTCCATGGGATCTGTTACCTTTTCTGACCTCTAAGAGTTCCTACATACACTCAAGCACACACACACAGAGATGGGTGTGGAGGTCATGGGACTGGGGATGACTCGGGGTACTGCTGGGGAAGGAGCCTATGCTGAATCTGAGATACCCTCTAGTGATGTCAGTCTGGGATGGCTTACACACAGACACAGGAATCGAGGGAGAGCTGTCCAACATCTGGAGAGCAGAGGCTGGTGTAGATGGGAGGTCTCCAGTATATGGGGGTTAGATAGGAAGAAACAGCCTGGAGTAGACATGGGACAGTCATTCTAGAGAGGCCATGTAAGGTGCTTCAACGTGGAGTGTCATTAGTAAGTCTGTCTGAAAGTCACAACTGACTATGTAGATTGTCCCAGGAGAGCAATGGGATACAGAGTGAGCTAGAGAACAGAAGGGACTGCAAAGGAGAGTGTGGAGATTGTTCAGGAGGCAGAAGGGTGGGGTGTGTGTAGACAGTGCAGGCAAAGCTGAACTCTGGGTCCCCTCAAACTATGAGTTGCCCCCAACCCCAGCAATTGCACTAGGCCATGACTACAGCGAACATGCTTGGTGGTCTGTCCAGTCTTGCAATGTGTGCATGTGGGAGTGGGGGGCAGGCATGCATGTTTCTATCCCCAGCACCACAGGCAGCATTCGACAGGTCCTCCTCCTGCCACAGCTGCAGGTACATGGGGTGAGCCCTGAGCTCCAGGCTGATTCCAGCCCCTTTGAAGGGTCTGGAGTCCATACTGGAGGTCAGCCTTTCCACAAGCCTGCTCTCTGGGAAAACACTGAGGCAGCAGTGGGCTCATGTGTCCAGGAGACAGAATGAGTGGATGAAGATGACAGGAGAAGGCCCAGTGAGCGAGGCAGCCGGCATTCTGCACAGTGGCCAAGCCAAGGTAGGTCAGGTGAATCTGCTACCTCCTGGCTGGGGTGGGCACCAAAAGCTCTGATTTCCTTTGGGTGGGGGACAAGTGATCCCAACTTTTAGCCAGTTTGAAACCCACTCAGTTGTCCCAGTGTTCCCCAGAACCTCACACTGAAAGCAAGGACACAGGACAACCAGGCTTTGAAATTGGGTTTAATGCATCATACAGAAGGAAAAACTACACTGGCATATTTAAGACAAACACTTTCTCTAGCCACTATCCACTGGACGGTCCTCCTTGGTCCCCCCCCAAAAAACCTAAGTCTCAAGACACATCAGCAGCTCCCCCTCCTGGGTCCAACCTTCCACATCCTCCCACGTTTCTTACAAAATCAAACTCAATCCATCCAAGAAGAAAATCCAGCTAACAAAAGAACCTGAAGACAGTTACGTCACCAGCTGTGCGGTAATGCATAATCGGCACCTCGTAACCAATATATAAAGACGTGTACCTCACACAGCTCACGTCGTTCATCGATAAAAGAATATAAAAATCTTGTTCAACCCAGTGTAATGTGTATTAAAATAGATTTGTATCCTACAGCACAGTTTCTCCCGGAGTCGTGAAAATGACAAGAGGGACAGTAGCTGGTGGTGGGACCCAGCCAGCCTTCCCACTCTGCACTTGTGTCTGTGGGCACAGGTGTGTGGCTGTGGCCCTGGCACACACGCACGAGTGCTCACTGCAGTTCGGCACCATGTGATATGCTTGGGGAACTCTGTGCTCCTGATCGCATATGGGTTGTGCTGTGTCCCATAGGACAGGGTGGGGCTTGCAAAGTGGGCTGCATGGCTTGCAGAGGTGCAGGAACCCCCAGGGTACCTAGGGACCCTCACTCCCTGCAAATGAGGAGACAGCATTGAGGAGGAGGGCTCTGGAGTCTCCAAAGGCCAGGCCCCCAAGTGCACCAACCTCTCTGCCTCCCCGCTGGATCTCCAAATCCCTCTGGGTGCTCCATCTGAGCCCTCTCAAGAGAGGTTACCATTCCGGTATTGGAGCAGACTACCAGATGCAGAAGAAGGCAGGCAGGGGCGCAGTTCACATTACGGATCGTACAACAACAACAACAAAAAAACGCTATACAAAAAGTGTGAAGCTCTTTTTGGCATAGTGTCTTTAACTGGCAAGAAGTGAGCAGGATGCTTGGTGGCTCCTGCAAAGGAGAGTGCTCTAAAGGCTTCCATCATGAGGTGAAACCTGCCAGGGGCCTCCCATGGTGGCTGGCTGCTCTGTCTAGCCCAGAACTCCATGAGGAAAATTCCAGAGATTGGCAATAGGAAGAGGTGGGCTGCGGCAAGAGCATGAGTTAGGGAAGAATGAGGCAGAGGCCAGGCTGAGCAGCCCATGCAGCAGTGACCTCAGGAGAAACTGGCTTGTCACTTGTCCAGTTAAATGACTGAGTTTCGACATAGTAACACTGATGGACTAGGAGCCAGCAGGGCACAGGCAGTCCCAGGGCCGCTGGAGATCTACCTAGGTTAGTTACCCTCTCTCACACCAGAGGCTCACTCTGCCACCCCACTAACCAGCTCATGGTGACAGCTGCCTGTGCCTTGGTCAGAGACATCCTCACCTGGCCCTCAGGTGGTCCCCTGCAACTGGTATAGGGATCCACCTCATGCCAGTTCTGGCTCTGGGATGCTCAGCTCACTCCTTTTTTCTCTGTCACTCTGTCTAGTTTATTTTCTGTCTAAAATTCATAGAGTTTATGAATTAAGGCTGACAGATTTTCTCAGGTCTTGAGAGCAAAGTCCCAGTAACTTTCTGTGAGTATTATACAGGTCCCTGTGGTCAGTTGTGGCTCTGGGGGTGCTGGAGGGCAGTGCGCATGGTGGTAGTGGAAGGCTTGGTCCAGGTCCCAGTCAGAAGCGGGGTGGGGCTGGTAGTTGCCATAGCGACCTGAAGCATCTGCTCACCCTGGATCAGTCTTAGTAGGGCCCGGATGCGGTCCAGTGATGACTGTGTGCCCCTTTGGCGGGCCAGGAGGCTTGTCTTCAGCTCCAGGCATTTCTGTCAATAGAGAAGTGTTGGAGATGGTCTCAGAATTGAATTCTGCAGCATCCTGGCCAGCCACATTGATGATCCCACCTTTTTACACAAAGCCTTCCACTCCCCAGTAGAACCTGAAACAGGACAAAGGCCTCAAACAAAATGGGATTAAATAAGGGGCTGGAGTGGCATGCTGGTGTCAGGGATGCCTGTCCCTGAAGCTGACATGTTCCACCCTGGCTGGTGACAAGCCAGTGAGGCTCACAGAATGTTCTTTAGTTTTTCTGTGTGTCACACAGAGATGACACTGCAGTGGGCCTGAGACCTAGAGTCATGTGACCTAGAGTCATGGGCTCTAGGTCAAATGGTGCCCGTGCAATAGTGAGTTCCTTGGGGCACTCCTCAAACTATAAAGATAATCAGGGATTCTTACAGGGTTTTGGGATGGCTATTCTTGGTTGTCAACTTGACTATATCTGGAATTAACTATAACCCAAAAAGCTGGGTGCACACCTATGAAGAATTTTTTTTCCTTAATTAAATCATTTAAAGTGGGAAGACCCTCTTCAAATCCTGACCTTTTTTTGTTTTTGTTTGGTTTTCGTTCTGTGACAGGCTTTCTCTCAAATCATGATCTTTGAGATGGGAAGATCCACCTTTAATCTGGGCCACACCTTCTGCTGGGAGCCTATATAAACAACATGGAAGAAGGGACCTCACTCTCTCTGCCTGCTGGCTCTCGCTGACAAGTCCATCCCTTCACTAGCATTAGAGACTACTTTGGGATTTTGGCATATACTGAAGATCGGCTGAGATGTACAGTCTTATGGACTGAACAATTACTGGATTCTTTACCCTTCCCTGGGTAGTCAGCCACTGTTGGGTTAGCTAGACCACAGCCTACAAGCCATTCTTATAAATTTTCTTCATGTGTCTTCATAGATTCATTCCATCAGTTCTGTTCTAGAATCCTGGCTAAAATGGCTAAAGAGGGCAGTGCATTTAGAGAGCTTTTCTAAGCCTGAGGTCCCAGATCCTCGGGCAGAAGAGACGGAAAGACAGCAAGTTCAAGGCCTGTCTGGGCAACTAAGTGAAACCAAATTGCTAAGGAAAACACCATGCACTGCAGGGGGCACTGGGGAGATGGCTCATGGGTAAGAGTGTCTGCTGTGCTACATGAGCACCTGAGCTGGGATCCCAGCACCATGTAAAGGCCCGGCATGACTGTATGTAGCTCTAGCCCCAGTGCTGAGAAGCAGAGTCAGACGTGATGGGGAATGTCCTCTGTATGTTGTGAATATGTTTCTCTTATTGGTTAATGAGTAAAGCTGTTTCAGTCAATGGACAAGGCAGGATTTAGCTAGACAGGAAATCCAAACAGAGATAAAGAAAGTAGTAGGTGTAGTCAAGGAGACGCCATGTAGCTACCAGGAAGGTTAAGACACCCAGTCTGGTTTTTTTTTTTTTTTTTTTTTTTTTTTTTTACACAGGTGGATCCTGGGAACTCAAAATCTTAACAGCCAAGACAAAATGGCAGGCATGAAGTTTAATGATAAAGTCTCTATATAGGGAATAAATGAAAAGCAACAGAGGAAAACATCTGACGGCCTTCACTCACCTCAACATGTGCACACACAAGTATGTGTAGCTGTACATGCATCCACATCTCTACCCCATCCCCCATGCCTGAGAAATAGAGTGTTTGTGTAACATGTTCCTCCAGCGCCCCAGAACTGCTATTAGGACTGCCACCACCACTACTGTCAGCACCGTCCATCACCACCATCATCATCATCCCCATCACCATTATCACCACAACCATCATCACCGGTACTACCCACCATCACTACCACCCCAACACCAACGTCATGATCATTAACACAATTATCATTACCACCATCACCATCATCGCCATCTCCACTATCATCATCTTCATCATTTGTCTATCATCAATCTATAGAGGACTATGTTCTCTTTACAGAGGAGGAAGCTGAGGTTCAGAAAGGCAGGGCCTTGCCAAGGTCACATAGCTGAGAGGAGGCAGGTTCAGAATGTTCTCAATGACTTGGTAAGTATTCACAGTCCACATTAGAGCTGCACCCTGAACCTATGGATTTGTTGAGCGATGCTGGTCAGCTTGCAATCACCCTGGGCTCAGTAAGTGGGTGACAGGGGACCAACCCCACCTGTGCTCACCTTCACAGCTGAGGCCAGCTGTCGGTCCCGCTCCTCCAGCTGCTGGTGCTCAGTCTGTAGCTCGCTGCCACGCTGCAGCAGTTTCTGCTTCTCTTCTTCTTTCACTGGAAGGGAGAGGCCAGGCCCATGGAGGGGCAGGTGAGCAACTGGACCGGAAATATTCTGCTAGGGACCAGCCCCAGCCACCTCTTTCTCAGAGCTCTGGCCCAGAAGAACCTGGACCCACCCAGCACAGCCCAGGTCCCAATAAGATCCCAGGGGTCCTTTCCCAATCCCAGGGACACCTTACCTGTCTTGTGGGTGACGTAGGAGTGCACGATGGCCAGCATCCCGGTCCAGGGTACACCCTCATCTTTCTTTAAGGCCTGTGGGACAGATGGGGTGATGAGAAAGAATACAGATACTAGAACTTTCTTAAGACCAGACCCTGGCTATGTATCCCCAAGGAGACATGCTCTCCCAGCCACAGATTCCCATCTGTGACCAGGGGATAGTAGTCCTATCAACCTGGTTCACTGGAGCTTCTCAATGAGAAGCTTCCTTCTAGGTTTTTCTCCCTTGTAGAAGACAGGGCTGGATGCTCAGGACTCCTTGTTACACTCTTGTGCACCTGGTACACCCATGCTAGGGATCACCCACAACACTGTCTCAAATGTGCATGGGCAGGGTGTGAGCCCTTCTGCCCACACCTTCCGCTGGCACTTGGGGCAGACCCACACGCCCTTGGGCGCCGTCTTGAGGGGCGGGTCCAGGCAGCTGAGGTGGTAGGCCCCTGAACAGGTGCCACAGGGCTGTAGGCTAGCTCCTTGCTTGCAGGCAGCACAGAATTCATCATGGGTGATTTCGCTCTGCAAGAGAAGGGAGGGTAGGAAGCAGCTCAGCCAGGCCCAGGCAGCTTGAGGGAGTGGGAGACTCCCTCTGAGGAGATAGTGTCAAGATATGCTAGACTCTAGCTGCCATGTGTCCCATGGGTAAGGTTCCGGCACTCATGCACACCCTGACTGGGGCACTGGACACTGGAGAGCCACACAGCACGCCCCAGCACCAAATCTCCCATAGAGTATGGTCCAGCAGTGACGACTCATCCTCATGTATACGCTGCCTCAGGGAAGGGGACTGTGGCCTGACACAAGCTACACCTCAGTCCCTTCAACTGCATACCCATCTAGTGGGAACCACTGACATGTAGGCGAATCACACATCTGTTTCCACACCCATAATGGAGATAAGAACAGCCGTCCCTTAAGTGCTGGGCAGAGCAGGACAGAGCACACAAAGTGTACCCCACTAGTGCCAGATGCCCCGAAATGTGGTACAGGACAGAACCCTTCTGTCCCTCCCAGAGTCCTCAGTTCAAGCTCCAGGGACTGTGTTGCCCAACCCATCCACAGGCTGCACCGAGGAGAACTCAGCTGATGACCTGTAACACCTGTCCAGCCACGCACAAGGGCCCTCGTCCCTGGAAGACTATCAGCAGTTTCCAACTCCAGCACTGAAGTGGTGGGAAGGGATGGCCCTCATCACAAGGGATTTGACACCAGAGGTGTCTGTATTTCTCATCAAATGCAAAGACTAGTGAAGCACTTGCCTTGGGGTCACACAGGGAGTGGGAACAGGCCAAAGCCACAATAGATACCGCCTGCCTCAAAGCCAAGGCCCCTCCAGGACTATGGACTTATGGAAAAGGGGAGTCTTCCATCACCTCATGTATCCCCCTGTCTGTGTGGTCTAGGCGCTGGTGGTTTGAGTAAATTGCCAGGCCCAGGGCACCTGTGTTTACTACCTCAGAAAGCACTGTGACCACCCAGAGCAGGCTGTAAGCAGTTCCCTGCACGTGGGAGAGTGTGAGGCAAGGCTCATTTGGAATTAGATTAGAAACTAGGGAAGGGCTGTGGAGATAGTTCGGAGCACAAAGGCACCTGCTGCCGAGGCTGAGATCCATTCCTGACTCATGTGACCAAAGGAGAACTGAGCCCCGCCCCACAAGTTGTCCTCTGACCTGTACACTTGTACAATGGTGCACACGTGCCTCAGGGAACAGGGACGTGGGCTTTGTGAGTGGTGGCGTCATAGGATCACAATGGGCACAAAGGGTGACATCCTGGGAATTAGCCCATGAAAATGGCCAGCTCTGCCCGGGGTCACACAGAGAAGCCAGGCCAGCTGGGGTAAAGGTCAGGTGGTACAGTGTGAACACTCTCAGGGCTGGGCAGGGCAGGAGTTCTCTGCAGGAATGTAGGACTTAGCCTGGCATGGCAGCATGAGGAGAGCAGGTGTCGTGCAAGCTCTGGGTACAAAGGGAAGGTTAAAGCAATGACAGATGTCCCTCACCCCTCTGTGTGAAGATGGAGTCACGTACCTTCCAGCAGGGGTCCTCATTGGCTAGCACAGGGAGGAAGGGTGGAGAAGATGTTAGTAGGGGTGGGAGGAGCATGGGTCAAGGCTGGGGTCCCCCAGGCTAGGTGTGGCAGACCTAGAGCATGATGGGAGTTTCACGAGGCCCAGTGACACCCAAGTTCTCAGAACCACTGTATGATGAGGGAAGACTCTGCCTTGGTCCTGGTCAGGACCTACCTGGGAACAGGGTCATTGCATCCGAACTCATGAGGATCATGGCTGGCACAGTGAGATGGACCCCTTAGAGTAATCTGCTTCCAGCTCCTTCTGGCTGGGCACCCTTTGCATTTTATGCTGTGATGCCAAACCACACACAGTAAGAAACACAAACAGGGTTTTCCTCCCAGATTCCTAGACAAACATCTGTGATGATGCTGTTCCTGGGAGGAACGGTCCACCAACAGAGTAGGTATCACAGGCCCATTGTGTAGATCAATGGTCCAAGGGCTGAGGCGTGGCTGATGCCAAGAGCTACACAGAATCCCAAGATGCAGGCAGCCATCTCCTGCCCTCCAAAACTATTGGCAGTTCTTTCTTTGCTTCTGAGACAAAGTCTTTTGGTAGGTCAGGTTGGCCGAAAACTGACAGCAATCCTTCTGCCTCAGCTTCCTGAGTACTACGATAACAGGGACAAGTAGCTCCCAGCCACAGAGGATAGTTGGCACAGGAGAAAGGGCCCTACTGAAAGTTGGGGATGTATGTCCCTGCCTGTCAGAACTGGGCCCAGCACCCAGTGCTCCTAGATTAGCTGTGGCTGTCCAACTGCCCAGAGCCAGCCCAGGAGAGAGGGCAGGATTAGAATGAGCCCCAGCCCAGCTGGGAGATGAGTGCCTGCTCTCTCCAGAGCTGTCTAGTAGCAGGCAATATGGCTGAACACACAGCACTGGGCTTATACTCAGGCTGCAGATGGAGGGGCAGGGAAGTAGACCCATCCTTTACATATGCCCTCATGCCATCCCATCTCAGCCCTTTGGTGGGATACCCTACCACAGCGACTTTCAGCTGGGTTCTCTGAATTGGACACTCAGCACAGGTGTAACTCTGGTGAGAAGCATGTTCCTATTGTCTGTAGTGTCTGTATCTAATGAGATGGAGAAGATCCCAGCAGCTCTCCCCGCCAAGTAGCCTCGAAGGCAGAGGTATATGAAGTCCCAGAGAACAGTGGTGAGGCCAAGCTTAGGGAGGGGTGTGGGTCCATGGAAGCTGTGGCTCTGGCTGGCACTCACCTCGTGCTGTGAGGAACAGGGGGTTGTGGAGATAGCTGGAGGCCAGCCGCTTCCTCTGTAGGGACAAAAAGCAGAACCAAAGAATCGCTCGTGTGTGTACTCTTATGTCACTACAATGACCTGACTGGGACCCTCTGGGACAGCCCAGACATTGGGCAGACACCCTATGCAGAAGACATGGGGAGAAAACAAAACAAAAAAACAAACAACAACAACAAAACAACAAAAAAACCTGATACCAGGGCCCAGGGGCAGAGGGGCAGTCTACAAAGGCTGGGTTCTTCTAAGGTCCTGGAATCTCCATGCCATGTTGTCTTGGGCAGGACAGTCCCCAAACATGATAGGTTAGGGACAAAGCCAGCACTTTCCTTCCACCTGCCCTCTGATCTTTTTCTGCTTCTACAGCCAGGAGGTGTATGGACTGTCCCTGCCCCAACTTCACCTCCTGGTATGTGGCCCAAACCTGGCAGCAGCAGAGGCTTCCCTACACCCCAGGAGAATGGCAGAAGCTAGCCAAACTGTATTCAAGGGCAAGGAAAGGACTGGGAAAGGACTGCTCTTAGCTTGCATGCTTGTCTAAGGCTCAAGAGTCACAGAGGTTCTTGTTTGTTTGTTTTTAATTTTTTCATTAACTTAATTTTTACATTCCAATCTCAGTTCCCTGACTGAGTGGCTATGGAAGTCCCATGGCTCTGGCTGTAGACATAGGGCTTGTTGAGTAAGTTCTATTGCCCAGAGCATAGGGGGCAGTTTCTTAATAACCACAGGTCTGAGGCCCTGGTGGCAGGATGTGTTCTTGGTTGGAGGCTAAAAACAACTTGAAGTTCTTCCTTCCTTCATTTATTTTTAAATCAGAGTTTCATGTAGCCCAGGCTAGCCTTGAACTCTCTATGTAACCAAGGAAGACCCTGAACTCCTGATCCGGCCACTTCCCAAGTGCTGGGGTTACAAGTATATGTCACCACGCTCAGTTTAAGCAGTGCTGGGGAAGACTGAACTCAGAACCTAGTGGATATCAGGCAAGCACTCCACCAACTGAGCAACACCCTTAGCCACTGATGTTCGTGTGAAAGGGGTTACTCACTGAACCAGAGAAGAGAATGGGATGTATTCAAGAGTGAGCACCTTCTACAACAGGAGTGGGGAAAGAGACAGATGGTGGACAGGGCTGGGGTCCACTCCTCTCCTGGACAGGAAACTGTGGGACTGGAGCTGAACATGCTCCCTGCAAGGGCTCCCTTCCCCAGCTAAATTCAAGTTCATAAGAGATGGATTTGGAACCCACATCCTAGAGAGGCGAAGTGGGGCTTGGAGAAGTAGCTCAGCCTTTTGGAGCACTTGCTGCCATCAGGGGTTGAGAGAGCACAAGCCTGAGATACTAAAGTTCTTCAGAGAAACCCACGGGAGCCTCACAGGTGAAGGGCAAGCCACAGTGGGCTCTGGGATGTGATGCATCGGAGAGTAGCCTGCCTTGGGCTTTGCACACGAGCCTATCACAGTAGTCTCATGAGGGACACAGTGCTACCTGTGGTCAGCAGGTGTGTTTGATACTCAGAGTAGCCGCTGCTAGGACTCCAACAGACAGCTCTGTTTTATGACAGGATTTTACTAGGTAACCCAGGCTGGCCTGGGGCTAAAAATCCTCTTGTCTCAGCTCCTTGACTGTTGTGTTACAGATTAGTACACTCAGTGAGAGTACATGCCTTGTTTCATTTGAATGGTTCTGGCTAGGAAGGACGGGCAAGAAGTCAGTAAAAAAGCTGGCAGAGGTTCCACGGACTCTTCTTGACCCATTAACTGTTCATCAAAGGAGTGGGAGGGGCTCACGAGGCTCTTCACTATTCTCCCAACCCCAGTGGTGGTGCCCAAGAGTCCCACCTCGGTCTCCAGGAAGCCGCTATAGGCCGGGTTAGCCGTGCTCCTCCTCTTTCGCTCCTGACGCTTGCTCTGGATTTCTAGAAAGGAAAGGCAGACACAGCAGTCACAGGCTTGTTGCCCAGTGGGTCAGGGCAGGCCAGAGCCTTCAGGAGCTACTTATAGCATGGCTCTGGTGGCCTAAGGGTGAGTATCAGGTAGGAGGATGAGGGGACAGGGACACACTCCTCAGCATAAGGCCCTGTGGTAGTTTGAATAAAAGAGTATCCCCATAGACTCATATATTTGAGTCACTAGGGAGCAGAACTTTTGAAAGGATTAGAAGGATTAGGAGGTGTGGCCTCATTGGAGTGGATGTAACCTTGTTGGCGGAAGTATGTCACTCGGAGTGGGTTTAAGGTTTCAAAAGCCTATGCTAGACCCAGGTTCTCTCTCTCTTTCTGTTTGTGGATCAGGACATAGCTCCCAGCTGCTTCTCCACCATGTCTGCCTGCTGTCATGCTCCCTGCCATGATGATAATGGACTGAGCTTCTGAAACTGTAAGTGAGCCCCCAATTAAATGCTTTCTTTTATAAGAGTTATCTTGGTCATAGGGTCTCTTCACAGCAGTGGAAGTGACTAAGACAGCACCGGTGACTGGATAGCAGCAGCAGCAGCAGCAGCAGCAGCAGCAGAGACCCTGGTTCTGCTCAGCCAGGCACAGCTTGTGGGGCCCATCAGTCTCTGGCCTGTGCACACTGACCCTCCTGCTTTCCCTCTTGTCTCTATGTATGTTGTGACTTGCTCTGCCTCCCCATATAGCCGCCTGGGGGGCCCATTCTTCATCTCTGTCAGCTTCCTCCTGACCGCACAGTGTCACTCTGTGTGCTCCCTGTGAGGCACCACGGCCTTTGTAGAAGAGACCAGGGTCCAAATAAATACTGTGGGATCCCAGATCATGAAGAGAGGTTTTCAAAGTGAGGACCAATTGCATATAAGGGAAAGTGCTATTTCCTCACTCCCCCCAGAAACCCAACAAACTTAAGAATAAGGTTTCCCTTATTCTGGAGATGAAGAAACAGGTTCAGAGCGGACCAGACACCAAAGAAGTAAAGAAATATCAGCTCTCATGGGTTCATGAATACAGGATTGGAAATGACCTCTGTTACTTCACTGTGTGGCCTCTAGAGTGGGGACAGGTCCCTCCACAAGAACATGACAGTGCCACTGTCATGGGATAAGTAAAATCAAAAGTTTCACTGGCTTATCTTATGACTGTGACTCCATTACCTGGGGCTGGGTTCCTAGGAGCCTCACATCTGGATAGTTCACAACCATGACCTGGGGTACCCTGAAGGCTTCTGCTTCTATTTAGGTCCCCACCAAGCCCCACCTACCACACTCCACCCACTGTCCCCATCATTACCTTCCAGGTGTTCTGTTGTGACCAGGCCTAGAGCTACCATGAAGGCAATTTTCTGAGAAGAAAAGGGATAGAAAGGCATTAACACAGTTACCGATTCTCACTTGAGTCAGCCAAGACCTAGGCTGTGACCCACAGGACAAAACCTGGGGGTGCCGTCATGAGGACACTGCTCCAGACACTAAAGTTGTTCCCAGTAAACTTGGAGAATCCAGATACCCAGAGACCATCCAACATCAGTGTAGGGGGCTCCTGAGAGCAGCTAGGGGCCTGTGACGGGGATGGCTAACACATTCCTCAAATACACTTTAAAAACTAACAACACAGGGCTGGCAAGATGGCAGGTGCAACCTGAGGAGTGAGGAGGGTGACCTCAGCCTTCAGGAGGCTCCGGCAGAGGAAGAACAGACAGACAGATGGGTGCCACTTCCCAAACCATTCTGACCTTGGAGTGGGCTCTGCAGTGTGCATGTTCAGCACAGATGCCTGAGTAAACAAGAAGGAATGATAGGGGGAGCAGCATGGAAGACAGAGTCCTGTAAGGTGCACACTATCCCGGCCCTGAGCGGAGTCCCTTATACAGGACAGCACAGTGTCTACACAAATCCTACGCACACCCTCTTGAATACTTTGAACCACTTCTATATAGCCTGTAATGCCTGATGTGACAGAAACCGCATATAAGTCATTGTTTCACTGTGCTGTCTAGGGAATAAAGACAGGAGAAATGCCTGTGTGCAACAGTCATGGTGGAGGAGATGCAGGAAGTTAGGGAGAATGAAGATCTGTGAAACAGCATTCCAGTCGGATGTGCCCACACTTCAGTGATAGGATTCTGGGCTGTGCTTGTCGTGCAGCAAATCCAAGCACTGATTTTTGAACTCTCCAGAACCCCCCCCCCCCATCTCTCTCTTGATATTTTTGTTTCTGTGGGCATGGAACCTGAGGATACAGACTTACAGACTGAGTTAGGAGCTCCTGGAAGCCATAGGGGGGTAGGGTAAGCAACACAGGCCCAACCCAGCTTTGCTGGCCTTTTGGAATCTCTTGGAAGTATAAGGACTTTGATGGGGGAGATGAGCCAGGCTTAGAGTTTCATGGATGTCAAGTAATGGGGGCTTCTCACACCTGTCACCTTTTTGCAGAAAGTTTGAGACCTATGAGTGAGGAAGTCAGACGTAACCCCTGGCAGAGTGGCTGATGTCTGCAGTGCTGTCCTGAGAAGCTTGGCTGCAGCCCACCCTGTCCAGACTCAGCTGGCCACAGTGGAGGTGGCATCTCTGGTTCCCAACTGCAGGGCTGGGTAGCCTGGGCATGCCCTGGCTCTGCTGGAGACTACTTCCAACCTGTGTACACATGCAGGCTCCCTGCAGTTTTGGGCACTCAGGCTACTGCTGTGAGGACATATCTAACCATGTAGGGCTCCTTCTACAGTGAGCAGAGGCTGTGTGAACCCTCCATCCTGTGCACACACCCTTCACAATTGCCTCTGAAATACCCCTCTCAAAGTGCCAGGTATTGTTCTGAGTTGCTGGCCACACTTAGTCCCTGCTGTTTGAGCACTCTTCTGGCTGGCCTCATCACTAGCTGTCTTTGTTCCTTTACAAAAAAAACTGATGTCCAGGCCTAGCTTCATGACACAGGCCTGTAATCCTGGGACAAGAATAAAACAAATTCAAGGCCTTCCTGGGCTACACTGAGTCCAACCTTAGCAAATGTAGTGACACCAAGTTTCAAAAGAGGAAGCTAAAGAAGGCTGGGGCTGTATAACAGCTCCAGGGTGGAGTGGAGCTCTGTCCCAAGGACCATACAAAAAGCAGAACCCATGTCCTGTAATGGCCGGGGTTTCCACTTGGGCCAGTGAGATGCCTGGGGGCTGCTGCTTGTGTCCTGATTGGCACACCCCCTCTTGAAGCAGGCCTATACTGTCCAATTCTCACTTTAACAAGGACTTCTACACCAGGGAGTGTTTTGACTGTTCTGTTAAAGTCATTATGAATATTTACACTAATTACACAGTTAGATATAATTATACTAATTGTAAAAATGCTCAATAATTGACTAAGATGCACTTTGAGAGAACAAAGAGATGCCATCCAGAGAAACTTCCTGAATGTGGAGAATGCTGAAAACCTTAAGACAGGAGAGACAGGTGCAGGAGAATACTATAGGCGACAAGCTAGCCAGAGCCTTACCATGTAAACATGTGGAGCTCAGACACTGCCACAGGCTGGACCCAATAGGACCGTGGGCTGGGGTCCTGGAGATGTGGCCCACATAGCAGCTTCATGTTCCACACAGGCAACCCAGTGATCATATTCATCCATTCACTCATTATTTATTTGGGGGTGGGCTGGATGTGCTGGGTCTCATGTAGCCCAAGCTGGACTCCAACTTATTATGTAGCCAAGGATGACCCTGAACAAGTCCTCCTGCCTCCACCCGTTGGGCTAGGATTAGAGGTGGGCACCACCATGCCCAGTGTATACAGTATTGTGGGTTTTTAGCAACCCCAGGGCTTTGCGCATGTTAGACAAACTCCGTTGCCTCTTCAGCCCCTAAAGGTCTACTGCACATGTGCAAAGGCAATAATCAAATCACTCTTTTGCCTAGATACTCCCTGGCTCTGACATTGAAGGATTAAAATCCTATCCTGGCTGCCTGCTTTTAAGTCTTCTGAAATCAGGTCTGCCATCTGCCTGTTTAGGGCTGACCCTCTATTACTAAGCCACCTGCTATCCGCAGCCCAGCTCACCTGTCTGAAAGTGCTCAGTCCTTTCCTACTTTCTACTACTGCTCACACAGTACCCTCTGCCTGCCCTTTGCCTCTAGTCTCTGGCATTCCTTTGACCTATGTCATCATACCCCTATTTATGCAAAGCTCCCTTCATCCTCCCAAATAGCCTCCCTCTGTCCTTTGTCCCATAGCTCACAGCGTGTTGGAAGTTTCTTAACCCCCATTTTGGCAGCCTTTGTAGCCAGATTCGTCTCTGCCCTCAGAACGGAGCTCCCCAGGACAAAGACTACATCTGCCCATCCCGAGTCCCTTGCTCACAGCACAGAGTGTGTAGGGAGAAGATCCTAGTGTGAATGATAAGGAGGACAGGCTCAGAAAAGCAAGTGATGTCTTTGGGACCAGCTGTGGGCAGGGCACCTGGTAGGGACCATGCTTACTGGACCCTTGTAAGACTAATGAGGGTTCACCACTATCTGAGTGAGAAGAGTCATATGGAGAAGACCACAGCAGAGCAGAGATGTTCTCCATGAGGCGGGGCTGAGAGTATAGCACCAGCATGGGGCAAATACCCAACAAAGCCAGGTTGTTGGCCCTGCTCTATGACTGCAGATGACTGCAACTTAACAGTTAGAATGACTCAATTTATCCATCTTCCTCTAGGGAATGAGAGGAGGGGTGTCAGGTGTAACTTCTAGAAAGTTCTTAGGACATCTGAGTTCTCCAGTGCTGTTGGCCTTGCTCTGTAACCCTCAAGCTTTCAGGATTGGATACAAACTGGAAGCAGAGGCAGGAGCCACATGCTGCCCAAGGTGGGGAAATATCCCTTTCTGGACTTAGTCCTGAGAGGAACAAGGCTCACAGTCAGGGATCCCTGGAAGGTAGATAATGTCCCCGATCCAGTGGTTCAACTCAGAATCCTCCAGCAACCCAGGTCTTATCACTCCTGTCTGTAGACAAATCATTGCACAGGACACAGTATTGTTGACACTCAGACAGGCAGCAAGGTGCTAGAACCGTGCTGACCATGGTCCTACCCTGCCTGCACAGCCTGGAGAACAGAGGGAGCAGACTCAGTTCACTGCTGCTTTGGCAGCTTCCACTGTGCTGGTTACAACCAGTCAAGATCTTCCTAATGAAGCTGTCCCAACCCTGCAAAGAGCCTTGTCATAAAGCCAAGAAGGGGTTGGGCCCTCAAGCGGGCCACACTACCTCTGGATTCTCCTGGCTGGGGGGTTGATCTTCCTTGGTGGCCTGAGCTCCCTGAGATGGCTCCTCCGTGGGTGGCCGGGGCTCTGCTGAACTCTCGGGCTGTGTCTGCACTTGAGGTTGAATGATGATGACCTGGAAGACACAGGAAGGATGAGAGGGGCAGGGGCTCAGGAAGGGAGGGGCAGGGAGCAGCTAGGAGTCAGGTAGGTCCTGAGAGGTATATCACAGAGGAACCAGGAGGCTGCCCTGTGTCCAGGGCCTTGCTTCCAAATATTCCCCACCCCCCATTTCCATGAGCGCATCTGTGTGGGAGATGATCAAGTTTACAAAGCAAGCAGGCCTGAGTGCAAATCTTACTGCTCCCTGGCTATGTAGCTTCAGAGACTACTCTGAGCCTCAGGGAACACACTGGCAATGCCAGCCTCCAGGGGGCGCTAACTCTTTACTCTCAGCTCAAATGTAGGCTACTGAGCTTGGGAGCATTCAGCTGCTTCCCCTGCCTGAGACATCAGGTTGGGAGGCAGAGGGACTAGGATGATTTGGAGTTGCCTAGGGAAATGGAAAAACATCAGCTACAGGCAAGAGAGTAGGGAAAGAGGGAAAGATTCTTAAAGGGAAAACAGGGCAATCTTTAGAGCACTCTAGAGGACATAATGTTAGGGATTAGGACAGTATATCTAGGGATATAATGTTAGTTTTAGCATTAAAACTAAATTCCTCATAGGAAATCGATCATGCTACCATTCATTCATTCACCTCTCTTCATTCCTACAGACCTGAACCCTCAGCCATGTGTTCATGTTGCTTCACACACTCATCGCTCACACCTCCTGTCCATTCACACTAATTCATTCTGCTGGTCATTGGTTCACGGCCCCTCCACACTCTCACCCGAATCTTTCCCTTCATTTTCTGGCCCCCCACATGAGTCTTCACATGCAACACATCCTCTTGGGGCTTCTGGTGGCCACTTACCTTTTTATCGGCACTGATGAGGAGGGGCTGCACTTTGATGCTGTCGCTGGCCACGGGCACAGTGGTGCTAGGGGTGATGGTGGCAGCATTGCTGGGAGAGGTGGAGATGATGGCATAGGCCACCCCAGCACTGCTCAGGGGTGAGGTGATGGTGGTGGGCTCGGTGAGGGCCTGGGCCTGGCTGCTGGGTGTTGGCACATGGTTGACGGTGTTGTTGGCAGTGGGGAGGGCTGGACTGGGGTTCTTGATGCTGACCACAGTGGCCTTTTGGAATGTTGGGGGCTGCTTGGGTGGCCGGTCCCTGCCCGGGGTGACAGGGAGGCTGTCTGGAATCAGAGTCTTTGGCCTAACCTGGGAGGAAGGGACCAGTGTATGGTCAGACAGACAGATACAAGCTCGTGATGAAGGCAAAGCAGTGGGCAAGCCTCAAGCAGACAGGCTGAGTCCTAATTAGAGGGGAAGTAACCCTCTATGACCCCGCTCTAAGTCTCCCAAGCAATCAGGACCTTGACCCCAAGGCTATGGCTACTCTATCCACCTTCTTCCTTGCTTGGCTATACAATGCTTTATTGATCCCTACCCACTCATCCACCTCTGGGCTCAGATGAAGCTGCTCCAGGCTATATAGTCCATTCTAGTCAAAACTGTGAGGGACAAAGGGAGAGGCTGGGAGAGTGCATCTTCATACACCAAGTCCACATACAAAGCCCACTGTGTCACAGGTGCTGGATCACAACCCTTGGGCAGGACCAGGTAAGTCATAGGGCTCACTCCTGCAAGCCCCTGACAGACGCAGTGGTAGCCTTTGGGCCTTGGGCACAGTCACTCCAAAGAGTCCATACACATGGAAGTGGGACATGGGCAGTCACCACACAGTGGAGACTATGGCTCCAGTAAGCTTGAGTGGCCAGTCCTGGATCTTAGGGGATGTGGGTGGTCTTGGAGACACCGCTTAATGTCTTCACCTGTGCACTGGGGGTGATGGAACCCACTTGTCAGGAGCTGCAGACTCCTGTTCTCATCTCAAGTGAGGTCACTCTACACCCAGATACCCCAGGTGAGTTGACAAAAATGAGACTTAAGGAGGGAGGGGCATGGTTTGAATTCCACTGAAGCCTTGGGGAGAGTGTCCTGGCCATTCCATGGAGGGAAACTGAGGCAAAGCCAGACGAGGATTCCTGGAGGAGAATGGTAGTAATGATATCATTGTCATTAATGATATCATTGTCCGGAGGGGAGAGGGGCCTGGGCCAGGACTGCTGAAGCTGTGTGCTGGCCCTTCCGCTCTCCCTTGCTCTACTCTAGTGACATTGGGGAGATCCTGCTGGACCCTGACTCTTAGGAACGTCACCAAGACTCAGTGTGTTGTGGTCAGCAAGCATCATGGCTGTGAGATCCTCTACTGCCTGATACAAGCTGGCCCTCCATTCTGATGGCCTTCCTATCTTTTAGACCAGTGGGCCCTGATCAAACCAAACCAGGCCCTCCCCATCTTGGAGGCCATGTGTAATGTGGGTAATGTGTCCAGCCTGGCTGAGGTGAGTCTGCTGTTCTGTCCTTGTCCAGTGTCAGGCTCAGTCTCCAGACACTGGGCACAGTGCCACACGCATGACGAGAAAATGAGGGAAGAGTCCTTCCCCCTCCACCCCTTAGCTGCAGATGGCTAGTGCTGGCTGGGGACAACCTGTTCTCTGCCTCTGAGGAGGACCAGTTGGGGAAGATGATGTCCTAGGATTGTTGGAAAGATGTCACTCTGCTGGCTCCTTCCGGGTCACCTTCACTGTAACACTGGCCAGATGACAGTCCCTAACTGAGACCAAACATGGGAATAGCCATGCAGCAGGTGCTAGATACTGAGGACAGTTTAGCCAGGTTCAAATGCAGGCCGTCCACCCCAAGGAAAGGTTTGGGGACCTTGGAACATATGATGTTCCCCACAGCTATGTGGAGACCCCAAACCATCAGATCCCCATGGAACGGCCTCAGTCAGGGTCTGCTTCTACCCCTTCAAGCTTCCCAGGCCATCAGGATGAGCCTAGGTATGCACTAGGCACCTCTCAGTCAGCAAACCCAAGGCAGGGGCAGAGGAACTAGGATGAGACAGTGAGGGCTGAATGAGAGGCAAGAAACCCAGGAGCTGCAGGCAAGAAGAGGCTGGGCAGCCGCGCAGAGGGAGTAGGGGGAGAACACGTGGGACAGGATGCCTGTCAGTTGCCTGCCTGTGCTTCCGTGGTGATGGGAGGGAGCAGTGTGGAGAACAAAGGGAGGGCTGCCTGGGGAGCAAAAGCCCCAGAGGAAACACCATGGACTTTGGCAGAGCCCCTTGAGCCGTTCCCTTGCCTAGTAGAACCCCAAAAGCCTTGTGGAGTGGTCCACTGCCAGCAGACAAGGACAACACTGTGGCCTGATATATATCTGAAGCCACGACCCTCAACTCTGCCCACTCTCACCTCCCCTCAGGGGGAAACTCTGGCCTTCTCAATGCGCACCTTCCTCATGGGGCTCACCCCCAACTTTGGTCCACAATATCCCTACCCCACGAGACCTTTGTGGACCTCAGCTTGGGACAGGCCACCTCACAGCTCCCATCAGCCCTTCATAACCCCCTGAGAGTTCCTTGAGACTTGGGTCCTCTTAGGGGCAAGGTCCTTTGGATTTTGGAAAAGGTGGGAGCTTGGGGTGTGCTTTACCTCATGGACAAGAGCCCAGGGCACCTATTTCCCTTTATTTTTCAGCCAGGGGCATCTGTTCGGTCTCATAGCTCCAAGCCAGTTAGTGGCCTCATAGGTATGGTACACAGAGCAGGCGCTCACCAAAGCTGAGCCATTAATACTAAAGGCACTAGGCAATAATTCCTAGGGTCTAGGTGTCTGCTACGTACTGGTGCAGTTATAAGTTCTCCCTGTGACTACCAGGGCCAAAGACACAGTAGAGAGCCATCTGGCCCTCTGAGGGAGAAGCCTTCTATCCAAGAAGGTGAAAGGCTGGGTGACTTGTCCAGGGCATGGAGTCCATCTGTGGATCTAGGCTGGTACCCAGGGCCTACACCCTGCACCACTTATCAGAAAAGGTGTTAACTATAGAGCTCTTCAGACCCTCTGACAGACTCAAAATCAAAATATACACCACGTGTATATTTTGTGAGCCAGCATAGAAAAGCTTTGAGTATGCCTGACAGTAGCTACTCTGGTTGATGCTGGCCATACTTAATTCCTTTACAAAAATTTCTGGTCATGGCCCACTCAAGGGTTTCACAATTTCTCACTGTTTGAAAAACCAGAGTCCTCACGGTGAAAACTGTGAACCAAATGTTTCCCTCAATGAATGGGACAGACAGGATGGAGGAGGGTAGGCACTGCCTAAAGGAGGGACCCAGAGGCAGCTCTGAGGCGCTGGGGACAGACACAGGACACACAGACGCTTACCTGAGGTAGCACTGCTGCTCCTTGCCCGGCCAACCTCTGCAGGGAGCTGACCTGAGGACCTATGACAGGCACTGCAGTGGTGGTACCCAAAGCCTAAAAGACAGTAAGTGCCACCGTCAGAGACCAGCAGCCTGGGACCATGGGCTCAGGAAGGGCAAACTCTGTTCTTGCTCTACATATGATACTGTTCTTTTGTTTTATAAATCACAGAAGTAGTCTAACATTGTTTAAGAAAAACTGGAAACTAAAGGGAAAGAAAATGGAAAACACTGTCCAGAAAATAGTCAACCTTATTGTATGCTGGCTTCCCTCTTAAAGTGAAGTTTCTTCCTTCCTTCCTTTCTTCCTTTCTTCCTTTCTTCCTTCCTTCCTTTCTTTCTTTCTTTCTTTCTTTCTTTCTTTCTTTCTTTCTTTCTTCCTATTTTTTTTTTTTTTTTGTTTTTTTGAGGCAGGGTTTCTCTGTATTGTTTTGGAACCTGTCCTGGAACTAGCTCTGTAGACCAGGCTTGCCTCAAACTCACAGAGATCCACTTGCCTCTGCCTCCTGAGTGCTGGGACTAAAGGCGTGTGCTACCAACACCTGGCATCAGATGTATTTCTGATTGGCCTTGCATTTGCCATATGGGGATGACTTTGAACTTCCTACCCCCACCTCCCAAATGCTAGGTCTGCCAGGCATAGTACACAATTTTACTCTCAGCACTAGGGAGTTCCAGAACAGTCAGAGTTACACAGAGAGACCCTGTCTAAAACACCCTGGTGTACTGTTTCCATGGAGACCCCTCATCTCTGGCTGTCTCTGTCCTATAAACACCAATGCCTGTGGCCCCAAGCCTTCATTTCTGTTCAGCCCTCTTTCCTGACTACAACAGAGGCAGCTCCTGTCTGTCACCTTAGTGACTTACACTCAGGGAGGTAAAGGGATGGGAAGGCAGGAGAGTGACAAATGGCTGAGGTTGGACAGAGACCCAGAGCTTCCAGAGGGGCAACAACAGGGACAGCGTTGCTCCCACTCGGCTTGATTCTAAGTTACCAAAAGACACAGCTAGCTGGGATGGGAAGGGAGGGGGGTATCTTGCAGGCTGTGGGAGGTCTGCACAACAGAGCCTGGCAGATGCTTCAACCTGGACAACTCCATCCAACCCCATAGCCATGTGACCACTGCAGAGATTGGGATGCCCAGCTGTTCTTCAGAGGGTACTAAATATAAGATGCCTTTAAGTACAGCGTCCTGTGAGTCAGATGAAGACAGGTTCTGAACTGTACTATAGGACCCATTGCCTGGAACACCAGAGACCTGACAGTTCAGTGTATACACCCCGTCTCGATGCTCCTGGAAAGTCAGTAGCAAATATTGCCAAGCAGGGTACCAGTATCTTGTTGCTTCTGGACGTGGCGGGAGTCCTCTCAGAACATTCCTATCACAGATGGCCCATCTCCTGCTGATGCTGCATGTACTGTAGGTACGCTCTACTCAGCCTGGAAGCTTACATCCTTCCACACCCTCATAAAGCGCTCATTAACAAGTGGGAAGGCATTTTATCTGCGGGCTGACCTCTCTGCTCCATGCTGGAATTTATCGATGCAACAGAAGCAGTCACTTCAGAGACTGGCTCACTTAGAGTAGCACTTCTGTCAAGATAAATGAGCTGCTGATGACGGCATTTATAGCTCTGAGCATTTTAATAGAGGGAAAAGGGGCCATAAAAGTCTAAGATAACTTTCCTGTATGAGTTCAATCCCACAGGCAGTCTGGGAGAGGGCAGCGAAGCCAGCACATGGCCAGGAGGCAGGCTCAGGCAGGCCCTTCCATCTTTAGAGGCAGAAGCTTATTCTGACTTTGGAAAAATTTCTCTTTGGTGAATGTTTCCAAGTGCCAAGGAGACTTGACTTGTGAGCTTTGGCAGGGCCGAATGAGGGAGCACAGATTTGCTGTGACACCAGCTACATGGGTTACTTAGTATTTCCTGCTGGTGTCCCCAATGGCCACAAAAGGATACTGGTGAAGAAGAGGGCCCCTGTGAGGGTGGAAAGGCTGACTGAATGTGCTGTGTGTGGGGGTCCTCCCCCAGACCCCCAAAGACCTTCTCTTCACTTTCTCCTCCACCAGGTAGTGGCTAGCACTGCCTCAGGCGGCACACTGGACATTAGAAGCCACACTGGCAAGGCCACTTTGCAGAAAGCTTTCTGATGCTTGTGGCCAGGAGGGGGATAACCATAGCAACATCCGCCACTACATCCAGACAGGACTGGGAGTGCTGGGGCCGGGATGCCTGCTGTGTGAGTGGCCTTGAGCTGCCTTCCAGGGACATATGGCATAACTCCTGCTCACGATGTCAGAGCACAGAGATCCATGATTTCATGAGGGCCCAATAGCCATGGCTGCCCTGTTCTAACAGTCACCAGAAAAACACATCCTACAGCTGAATTCTCATCCTGTCAGGAAGCCCAATGGTCAGAGCCACTACAGCTTGGAGGTCATAGGATCCAAGCTCCATGAAAATGTTTATATGACAAGATCCCAAAGCTCAGGAGAGTGACTGTTAACACAGAGTGACTGCTAAATAGAGCATTATTATATGGTAAGACCCCAGAGCTCAGACAGTAACTGCCAAAATTCTCCTTTCTACAGTGGTTCTCAACCTTCCTAATGCGGGGACCCTTTAATACAGTTCTTCATGTTGTGGTGACCCTCCAACCATAAAATTGTTTTCATTGCTACTTCATAATTGTAATTTTGCTATTGCTATGAGCTTTAATGTAAATATTTGTGTAATGTAAATATCTGGATGCTGGTCTTTGTCCAGGTCAGATCCCTAACGACTTCCTGGGGAGGTGGTACAAAGTGGAGATGGAGACAAGGAACCCCCTCAGAGTCTGTTCTGAGGATGGTTAGGGAGGAGAGGCAGGGCCAGTGTGATGGTTTGAATAAGAATGTCTCTTATAGCATCTGTTATTTGAATACTTGGTCCCAGTTGGTTGTGCTATTTGGGGATTAGGCAGTGTGGCCTAGGCTGGAAGAGGGGTGTCACTAGAGGCAGGCTTTGAGAGATTTTTATATGCCATTAGATCTCTGTGTCCTGCTTGGAGGTCAAGATTAGAGCCCACAGCTTCCTCCTTCCACTATGCCTTCACTCTGCTCTCAGGGAATCCAACGATAAGACTAAATAAACTCCTCCTATCCCAGGAACAGAAAAGTACCGAATACAGCTAACGAGGCAGTATCCATAGCTTGCCTTGCATCTGCAGCAGAGGTCAGGATGTATGCCAAGGCAGCTGGGGTGAGGTCAGGTCATTTGACTGGCCCTTCAGAGCTCAGACTCATTACATGTGCAGTGGGCCCATGGAACACTGTCACACCAGGCACATAGATGACAGTTTCCACCCTTTGGGCCATCTGACCCCTCTGGGTTGTATCACATGGCTACTGTGCACCCAGTGAGGACATGGGTGCCATAGGCAGAAACTGTTGCTTGCCCCTTAGAGCCAGGCCTAACATAACAAAGGTGTTAGACATTTGCCTGGACCCCATCTTCCCTGCAGGAAAATCTTGGAACCGGATCCTGAACACTTACTATTCCAGTATGTTCCCTATAACCTCAGTCAATCTATTGAAGGGGAGGTGCCAGGCACAGAACACTGGGATCTGGGCCCCAGGTTCTTCACTGGGTGTGCCTTCCAGGATGTCAGGGGCAGAATATCCAAACCTCTGCTTTTCCAGAGGATCCCTAGCTGTTTAGGATGACACCTGCTTCCTGGGCTGGGATTCCAGCTTCCCATGCCCCAGGTGAGGCACATTCCTCCTCTGGCTGGGTCAGAGAAGAGGGGGAGCAGAACATCGGATGATTGCTTTCTCACCTCCGCTCCACGTGGTCCAGCCTCTGTGGACACAGCCTAAGAATGCAGCGGTTTAATTGCATCTAGGTTGTTATTTTCCTGCATTCTTACAGAACTGCTATGATGTGTGGCTCAGATAACGAGTGAGCTCCAACATCAGTAGCTGCTAATAAATATTAATATAACATAAGCACCGCTTTGACTGTCATGGGAACCAGTTTGTTATTCACAGATGAAACTCGATGGTTGCCTTTATCACTGTCAGCAGGAAAGAGCTAGTCCCAAACGATGCTGCTGGAACAAGCTTCTGGGCCTGGCCCTGCACTCCAACTTATTGTCCCCACTCCTGCTTCCTAGACATAGAGCCTCCACTAGCTTAAGCTTGGTGGGTACCATCTGAAGGCTTCACAAATACCGAGGAAAATCAGGTAGCTGACCTGCCTCCTCCAGCCCACTGCTCATAGCCACGTAGGACACAGTGACAGAACCAGTGCCAGGTACACCAACCTGCATGTGCATTTCCATCCACTGACAGTGTAGTCACACTATGGCCTTGTCCCCAAGTTGGAGGAGCAAGGACTGGCTTCCCATTACCAGAACCAGAGAGGAGGGTGGGAGGCATCTGTATACTTGGCCATTCCAACATCTCTGCTGTCCTGGGCCCTGATCCCTCTAAGACAAATGTATGCCATACACCAAGGCCGCCATGTAGTGACAAATGGGAGGAAGGGAGGGAGGGAAGGAAGTGTGCAGATGTGAGGGGTTCACCCACACTGGCAGGTGGGCCATAAAGCTGACCTGCCAGGTGAAGACAGAAAGCCTGGGCCTGTACTCCCCTAGAGTATACACTGTGCTGCAACACCTGCATCTAAGAAGGCTGGGACAGCACCACTGTCCTTAGGTGGGGAGAAAAGATCATCAAGAATGTTCAAAAGCTCCCAGCAGCCAGAGGAATTAGCTAGACTCAGCCAGGATCCTCAGAGTTTTAACCACACATTCCATTCTGCCTGCTGCACCATGGGACCATATCCAGTTTGGTGACATGCAGCCAGGATGGTTAGGGATGGGCTAGGAAGGCAGGGAATATGGAGGACTCCTACATCTGCTGCCCCTCGGAGCACTGAGCAGAGGAGAACTGAAGCATGGCTGTGATTGGACAACTGAAAACAAGCATGGGGAGATAGGAAGCAGGAAGGCTTCCTGGAGGAGGCACTGTCTGAGCTGGACTTTACATTGGCCAGAATATCCTAAGAGGG